TTTGGCAGCTCCAAAGTTTTATTTTTTTTAGTTGCAGCTGTGATTTTGGTTTATCATACTCACCCAAACGAGCAAAGGCAGGTCTCAATTTCTTATTTCCTTGCTGAAAAAAAAACCATCAGGGAATCCAATTTTCTTACAGGAGAATAGCACACACATACTGTGAGTGTTACTCAGAAGATAACAGTGCATCTGGGATTGCTCTGAGTAAGAGGACTGCAGCAGGAACCAAACAGTTCTCCTATAATCTCCTGTGTGAGGCTAAAACTTGCTGGAGATCCCAAATGGAAACAAGTGCATTCCTAGTGCAGCTCCCTTCCGGGAGGCTGGCCAGAGCTTGAGGCTTTTTTTTCACACTAAAGCAGGAAATGACTATGGCTGAAGATATCAGGCAAACTTACCCTGCTCTAGCATGGATCTGAACACTCGGGGCGCTTCCCACAGGCACAGCAAAGGGTGGGAGAGCCCATGCACTGCAGTATGTGTAGTGAGTGGTTCCACTCTCAGTGATGCATAGACTATTGTGTTGAGCTGAAATTTTCGTGCTAGGGCTGTGTTTGCTTGGTCTGATAGTCCTGAGGTGGTTAACAGTAAAAGCCTGAAGAGTTGTAAGGAAGCACTTGCCTTTTTATTTCTCTGGAGCTTTTCACTTTGAATCCGGACCTTGTCAAAGCTGCTCTCTTCCTGTGTCATTGTGAATTCACCTCCCTCCACCGGCCATCGTTTAAGATGCACTGTGCTAAACTTCACCTCAGGCTACCCAGATAATGGGCCTCAATGCTTAATTTTTTGTAATAAAATGAATAACTCAATTTCAGAGAATCTCATTCCATCTCGCTGGTAGGCAGCGCCCTTAACAGAGTGTAGAGTGATCTTATTAGTTTGTAGGTGATGAGTATACAGATAAGTTATGGCTTTGTTTCTAACATTTATATGCTTCCTATGTAAACCTGCTTCAGAACAAGGATCTAATTTTAGAAGATAAACATGCATTTGAAAGCGGACAAATCTGAAAACTAAACATTAGCTGTGTAATATGTTTTCTTATCAGGAACGTAAGTAGTATCTTAGAATACTAACGGATGCATTATATATATTAATGAGGGATTTACCATATGCCGTACATCAGGAACCCCTCTTCTTTTACTGTTAAGGTATCCAATATTCATTTGAATTCAGTACTGTCAGTTACAAATTGATAGCTCACAGTTATGAAATAAACGCCTATGAACTAGTAGCTACTTCGTACTTTTATCTCAACAAAGGATTTTGGGAGGATGGATAATTTAGATCTCTGAGCCTCAACTATAAATAAACAGCAACGGCTTTACAAATCCCACCCTGCTGCAGTTTAAGATTGTATTACAAAACTGACAAATGATTTGCAAAGGAGAATGATGAACCCTTATTACTAAGACGCTCTTCAACTTAATCCAAAACAAGATTCCTGGGTAATTTTACGTACACTGGGAAGATTGATGGCGTGGTGCTTGCCTAGCAGCTTTCAGACGTTTGCCGCGATCGGAAATAGCATTGAGGCATGATTAAAGATTCAGTTGGGCTTCTCACAAATTCTTTATCCCACGTATTCATCATCCCCACTCGCTGCCTTTGTTAGGGTTAAGGCAGCTGACCCCCAGCCCGGGTGATTAGCACCATATACAGCTGACAGACATACGGAAAAAAAATGTTTAGGTTGCCCGGAGCTTTTAGCATTGTTTGTTGGTTTAAATTGTTGGGAGTGGGGACGTTAATCACAATAGATCAGGGAGAGCCTGTGACAACTGACAAGCTCATTGTTTAAGACGTTTTTTAACGAAGTTGTTAACATTAATTCTTTTATATAGTACTCTAATCTTCTTCAAATTATGTTCTGACATGGCACAAACCGCTTGGCATTGAAAGTCATTCAACAGTGATTAAAGTGCTCTTTTTATCGGTTTAAGAATGTTTCATCTTGTATCAGCAGTATGGAATTGTTTACTAATTAGATTCCCTACCATCCTCCGCTGTCGTATGCTGATGATATGTGAACAGGAAAGCTGATGAGCAAAAAAATTAAAACTTGTTATTAAATTGTCATAAGGCCCGGCATATGAAGATGTCATTCAAAAGACTGTGTTCAGAAGGGCTAAACAATATTTACTGAGAAACTCAGCATTTTCTCAGCCCAACTCTACATTGGCTCTGCAGTTATCCACAGCCCCACCTCTTTTGGGGAGGTTGATGCCAAGCAGGGGTCTGTTGCACAAGGACCTTCCCATATGGCATGGTCACTTTGGGCTTCCTTGGGTCCTGTTGGGATGGCAACCTCCCAACATCCCACCAGACCCAGAGCATTATTGAGTCCCCTCTGTCCCTCGGCGAGTCACTTAAGATCCTGCATTCATCAAAGGAATTTTGATGCTTAAATGGCTTTGGGAACCTGAGAGTTACCTTCTGTTCTTCATTTTTGTTACCATTAAGTTCCTAGGCTCGATGAGTTCACATTTGTCCATTATTCTCTGATATTTAAGCTTTACTCTCTATCAACAAAGAGATAAATAAGACTGCATTTCTCTTAAATAATAAAAAGAAGACATATTTTTCTTCCTATGTGAGACCAATTGAACTTTCTTCTACCAAACCACTCAGGACAATTGAAACACTTAGAAAGATGTAAAGATATACACAGCCAAAAAGCAAATGGCACATTGCTTACATCCAGTCCTCAGTGAAACACTGGAGGCATCACATGATAAAGTGCTTTGGGCTTCCAGCCACATAATCTTTTATCACTTAAAGTAAATATCTTACACGCATACAGGGAAAACTGTTCTCTTCTTTTGGAGTTGGGGTTGTGTCAGTGTTGGAGGTATAAAGCGCTGCCGTTGTGCTGTAGGATGTTCTCTGTCTGCTGAGAATTTTATATAAGAATCATCAAATTTGACTCATTTGAAAAGATGAATTGTTGTTTGGTTTGATTTTGAACTGCTCCGATAAACTTTCCTTTATGAATTAGCTGAGTTCTCTTCGAGCTAGCCTGAGTTTGGCTTGGCTGGACAGATGCTTTACAGCAAAGCTTAAGGGCTCTCATTCTGCAATGAGCACTTCAGTTTAATTTTACCTTTCCAATAAAAGTCCAGTTGAATTGCTTGCAAAAATTAATAATAACACTCTTTGGGGGTTATTCTAAACAGCTGAATACTGTAAACATACCTGTGCTGTGGAGCTTTACAAGATAGTTCAAATGAGTGTAATATTGTTCTCTGTTAATATTATCTTTAGTAGAACTCTTACATTTCTGCTACTGCCTTTAAGATACTTTCTCTTTTTTTAAAAAAAATATAGTGGTTTAATAAGAGGATTGCTTTGCATTATAGTAATTTTAAAAATATTTTGGTCTGCTGATAAATATGTGCCTTAATACAGACAGGTTTGGTTTACGTTGTTATTGGAGATCATTCCTAAACCGTGGAGCCATCATTATCAGTTTAATCCCATCTTCTGAGAAAATTGCCTATCTTGCAGACAAATATGCCTTTCTTTGCTGTTACAAAATTGAGACACCTCAATTAAGGGAACTGAGGTTTTTTAGAAAGGCTGCCCTTGAGGGATGAGAATGCAGAGTAGAGTTTTTGGAGGCTGGCCCCCCCTAACAGCACCCTGAGTTTCCCTGTTCGTGACACTGAAAGGCTGGGGAAAAAAAAAACAACTGCAGGAAAGTCACAAGAGGTTGAAGCTCATTCTCTTTTCCCATTAAATTATCCTAATGTGGCAACGTCTAATTTCTCTTTGTTTACTTTTTCTATCATACTTGGCAGCTTCTTTATTCTGATTCCTATCAGGTCATAATGAGTTACCACAGAAAGGACTAAGATGTACATAAATAATCACTAGATGCCACATAAACTATCGGTTTTAAATTAGCATTGTGCGCAGTGTCTTGCTTTGCGCTCTCACCTATTATTTTTAATTACAGTTTACAAAGGCAGCCAGTTTCACGCTCTCTTTGCATCCCTCCTGGCACTGTGCTTGCAGCCCTGAGTGCCCCATCCCTGGGGTGTACCCACTGCTGCCCACATGCCCTCCAGCTCTGGCTTTCTGTTGGAGAAATTCAGAGAAGCCCATTCATCACATAAGTTCACTTTGTGTTTAAAAAAATAAAAGAAGGAAAAAGGAAAAAAAAAAACAACCACGTCTGCTCCACAGAAGCATGTAATATACCTGCTTCTTAAAGCATTATAAGACATGAGAAAATGGTTATTAGAGAATTAAAACACAAAACAAAAGACTGGAAAGGCTCGCATCTGTGCAGAACTGGCAAATAAACATACTTGCACAGCAGTGGTGACAGTGGCCGCAGCAAAACCACTGATCAGAGATAGATGGGCTGGTTTGGCACAAAGCCCGATTGCATTTTACGTAATAGGTCTTAATTGGAGTGCCCAGGTTAATTTTGTACAAGAGGCTTTAAAAAAACCAACCCACCAAAATAGATGCACCCGTCAGTTTGAACTGCTTGACAGGGTTAGGAAATGGTGGTGCCCGTGTTTGGAGGTTGGAAGGGAGCTTTTAGGTGCTGCTTTGAAACTTGGATCAACTTTTCTGGTTTCTTGGATCAACTTTTTGGGTTTTAGGCTTTTTTTTCAGTACCCACCAGGGTTTGTTGAAAAATACCAAAAGAGCAGAGATCAGGTAGTGAGATTCTGGATTATTTCTTTCACTCTAAGAGCAAATAAAAAGGAGAAAATAACTTCTCATTAGGGTGTCGTAGGTAAGTGGCTGGGAGGCAGAGAGGCAGCAGCATCCTTAGCAATGCTTTGGTTGCAGTGCGTTTAGCGATGCTCTCCTAAAGATGCACAGCTCCGACAGACTGCAAGCAAATTGACAGCGATAAAAATACCTGTATTTCTCTCTATATAAACATATCTATGTTTATGCGTGTGTGTGTGTATATATATATATATATATACAGGGTTTATTTCCAATTTTTTTTTTTTCTTCTTCTGTCGTTTCAGCAACAAGGAGCTGCCACGACTGTGTACTGCGCGACAGCCGCCGAGCTGGAGGGGCTGGGTGGGATGTACTTCAACAACTGCTGCCGCTGCCTGCCCTCAGCCGAGGCTCGCAATGAGCTGACGGCCGCGGCCCTTTGGGAGCTGAGCGAGAGGCTGATCCGCGAGCAGCTTGGCAGGCGGTCCCCGTGACGGAACGCCCCGCACGCTCGGAACCTGCCAGCGCTGGAGCCTGTCCAATCTTATCATCTAGAGGGTTTCCGTATACCTCCGATAGAGATTAACCAGTGTTAAATGAAATAATAGCAGTCACAACATAGTGAAAAATGTTAAGTACTAATGGGAAATGGGGAATACGGCGGGTTAAAGGGACAATGCGGCTTCCTGGGGCTTAGTTAGTCGTGCTTCTCTTCTTTTGATTATAGCCTGTTCAAAGTGTAACCCAAGGAGGCGTGCTTTGTGCTATTGCAGAAACGCGGTGCCACAGATATTCTCTGTTGTTTTGATTAATGGGTTAGGTAGGTAGCCCAATATGGGATTTCCTCTTTATTTTGATAATTACTGCCTGTTAGGCTGTAGGTATCAATCGGGATATGGTAGTGATGTTGATTCCTTTTCCCTGCAAGGATTTTTTAGGGTGTGGTGAGTAAAAAGGTTATTAGGGAAAGAGATCTCTCCTGCCCTTGACTGTTGGCTGCAAATACTTCCATGCTATCTAAAAACAGAGGGTGCAAGAAGGCTTCTGAACAGAGATGTCAAAATCACAGCTAATTAAATATTTCTTTTGTCTTAAAAGATTATAATAAAAGATACTTTATAAACCATTCCCTAATATAGAATTAGCAAAGATGATGTTGTCTTCTAAAGAACGCACAGGGTGTAATCAGGGGGTTAAGTGGTATTTTCATCCTTTTCTCACTTCACAGTTTTAAGGAGTTTGTTTTTTTCTTGGAAAATTCACAGTTTCTCAGTTCTCCTGATACTGTATCCCAATCCAAATTTCTCTATTTTTCTTTAAATTTAATAAAACAACATGCTTGCTTGAATACTGTCACCTGAAGAGAAAGTTTGTCTCATTTCTGCAAATGTCTTAATTTTTTTTTCTTAGAAAAGAAAACTTGAGGAAAAATAAAGAGCTTCTCGTTGATACCAAGAGAATGCTGTTTTTTTCTTGTTTCTTTCTGAGTTCTTTTATTTATTTTTTTTTTCTGTACTTTGTGCTTTGTAGCTGTCTTCATGCCAGAACGTTGTCCTAAGCCATCATCAGTCCAGCATCACATTTTCTGTGGACAGAATATAAACACATAAATAGAAGGACACATTGTTAATAGAAGCTTAAATGACCCCCCTTATTAAATTATTTATTGCTCACAGTCTCTTATGATTTGGCTCATATGGACTCAGCTGCTGCATAGGTGTTCTAATAAGGCACGCCGTCACCTGGGAGGAGCACTCCTAGCATCTTCCTATGGAAAACCCCACCATACTTCGGTAAGGAATGAGGATGCTACAGCTATACCTAAAAGCCATATACTGTTTTGACTCTAATTCTTGCATTTCCAGCTAACCCTAGCTCAGTGTGAGCTCTCCTTAGATGGATAGCGTTCAGTCTCCTGTGCACAAGGGTGGAAGTCTCTGCAGGTAAGGGCTCTCTCTTTCTGTAAACTTAAATTTCTTCAGTGGGGAAGCTGGGAGCTACTGCACTCCGATCTAGGCTGAATCAGCTGACCCAGCTTTATACCAAGGAAATGAGGGCTTTTCCTTTCTTCCAAAGCCCTTGGCATCTTTCAACCTTCTGCCCAAGTGCAGCCTCAGCTGCTGCCAACTTCCCCACTGATGCTCGCTGACTTCCTTACCCAATGCTGCAGCCTTTCCTAAAGCAGCAATAAAACAATATGGCCTTGCTTATATCTGCTGCACAACCTGTGCTGCCACTGCCTTCCCTAAATAAGCAATCCTGCCCGTCATTCTTCCTCTACAGCAGGCTGTTACCCCAAGGCCAGCTCTTGCTCCTGCACTGAAACATTTGGCAGAATAAAGAAATAAAAACGGCTGTTCCAGCAAGAGAAACATCTCTTTTCAGCTTTTTTGGAAAGAAGAAAAAAAACTCTTTCTGGTCTCCTACGTCTGTTCTGTGCTACACAGACCAGACCGTGGTATTGGGTAATGCCTGAAAGGTTTGTTGGTGTGGGTCAGAGTGCTTGCACGTTGAGGTGTTGGTTACAATCAAATTCCTTGGGTTGTCTGGAGTTTGTCTGGGGTGAAAAACTGATTAACTTCTGTCACCCATGCAGCAGTCTTCTCAAAAGGATTATTTTTCTTTTTCATACCAAAAAATGAATTGCTCTCATATGCCAACACCCCCAGCCCAAGAGAGCAGGGCTGTGCACCATGACTGGCACTGCTCAACGCTTAAAGAGGTTGTCGACCTTCCTTCAAAGTACACCTGGGCACCAATTTTCTTCCCACGTAGTTTCCTCTTTCAATATTAGAAGGAGAAAGCATTTTCAACGTCAGCATAATTTTGCATTAGTGTGAAAGCAAGCTGCCTGGTGGCTTTATGGAGTTGATCAGTTTCTGGTCAGTAAATACTGGCACTGGTGCATTACTGCAGCTAACTAGCATGTAACTGTCCCCATTTTCTCCAACTCAGGTAAAATATCTCAGTGAGTGTTTTCTCTCTCTTGCTTTCTCTTGTTCTCTTCCTTTTTCTTTCTCCTTTTTTTTTTAATTCCCTTTCTCTGTCCTCTTCCTTTGTCTCTTGCTCTCCTACACAGAGATAGCCAGCAAAAAAAGAAAAAAACAAAAAAAAACAACCTTGCATTTTTTTTTTCATTTTCATTCCAAATAAAAAATGGCACAAAGCTGCAGAGCGTTTGCTTCTATTAGAAACACTTGTGAAAATAATTTTTTACACTCAGCTCGGATTCAGTGCAGGAGGGATGTGCAGGACATTAAAAAGGAAAAGCAATTGAAAAGAAACAGACTCCAAACCCTCCATTTTAATATCCTAGATGTGCCTAAGTAAGTCATTGGCTTTCAGATATATTTTGGTGTAAAATTTGGCACATTTACAGCTAGTCAGGTTTATTTATTTGACTGGCTTACATTTTTCTGGTTGATTTACCTGAGGCAAATGTCTGTGTGAATCACTCCACAAAGCATTGACTCCGGCGTTCATTAAAGGTAGTTAAGTGATCCTGCGTCTGATATTAAAGCAAACCCCATTAACCTTAACTGGTATCATATCAGCAAAACAAAAATAACTGGATAAAGCAAAAGAGAGCGTGTATTTATAGTTCTTGGAAAAGATCCAGTCAACTTGCATCAAGTCCTTAATAGTCCTGTAGTTATCCCCCCAAACGATGATTTTTTTTTTGTCCCTGTCCTTATAGGTGTCATGGCTCTTATCCAGTCTATGTTTATGAACAAGCAAGCTCTCAATTGTCCTATGGGAATGGAGGTGTTCTCTGTGCTGTGGGCATTGCCCATGGTCTGCCCAGGAAGGAGCTGACTGTGGGGACCGGATAGAGAGGAACCAGCAAAAAACCATGCCAAGTCTTTGCTTTTATTTTTATAATTTTCTTCTGACATCTGGAAGACAAATTTCAGATGTTTTCAGAGCAGGTAGGTATTTTTATTATTAAAGAAAGTCTTTCCAGCAACACTGCAATAATTTGACTTACATCAAGGTTGAATAACTCCTTGTCAGGTGTTAAGCTCATGACCTTTCAAGCCAAACACACTGATACTAACCAGTTTACCATTGGAATGATCAATATCTTGTAAGTGAGAAAGTCTAGACAGATCTTATTTTGTCCTTTGGTATCACTTGTGGCTTTGGAATTGATCATTATATGCAGCAGGGGAAAAAATGCCTATACATTTCATGCTCTGTATTTATCTTGACAAGGTTCTCTAGGATTATATTTTCATAATCTGAATGGCAGTGGAACAGCTGCTCAAACTGTGCAAGTCCTTCTTATCAGGCTGAATTTAAGCTACGGTAATTACTCTTTCTCCTTATGTATTTCTTTTTTAAACAAGCGTGTACCATACTTTAAAATATATGGTGAGGGGCAGCAGGGGGGCATGCTGAGAAGCTTGGAAAATACTGCTAGAATTTGACATATTTCTTTCCCTGCAGAGTGGCTGATTCAGGCTTGTGTTTTGTTCTCGATGCAAGCCCTGAGTCTGGAGGCAGTTTGGGAAAACCAGCCTAGCTGGTGGCAAAACCAATGCCTTACAGTTTGGTGATGGGGCAATCCCATGGGACTGGGATTGCAAAGATCTTCCTAAACAGCTGTGTTTACGCCCTCAGCCCTTTGAGCCTGGGCTGGCCTTCAACATGCTTTTGGCCAAAGGATAAGTGCCTCAAAGGCACTCAGCCCAAGCTCAGTCTGGCTTGAAACTCTCTAAGCAGTGAGCTGCTCCCTCACCCCAAATGGAAAACAGACCCAAGCACAAGACCAATCCTATCCATATGGTTTTTCCCATCCAAATCTTTAGGAGTGGCTGTGGCAGACTGATTTCCTACAGTGCTAACCATGTTATTTACAGGATGCCTGCTCTGGGCTGTGCTTTTTCTTCTCTCTCCAACCCCTGTTGCCTTTGCAGAGCACTTTCCAATGGGTGTTTGGTGAATTAGCTCTGTGCTTTAAAAGAGAAGATTGCTCTGGCAGAGAATAGTGTAGTTGTAAAAGTGTCAAGGTGTTATGAATGTCCTGATGATAGAGCCCAGTTGTTATCTGCTGGGTAGTGAGGGAGGATAGCTAATGATGTGCAGCATGTAAACTGTTTGTTGCTCTAATCCATCTGTGTGGAGAGGAGTGAAAAAGAGGGGCGAAATCCTGGGAAAATTACTTGGACAGCTGGAGATAAAGTGTGCACTGATGGAGTCATCCAGAGGTAGCTGTCAACATGAGCTGTGTTTGCATATAATCCAAGCAATGCACAGTGATTCCTTACGGTGTGTATTTTATGGGGTTAGAGTGGGGAGGGGTTCGTGTGTCTGCACACAGATCTTAATTGCTCTCCAGTATCTCTTACCAACTGGGCTCCAGTTTTAAGTGAGGAATGTGATTTTAATCAATTCATGGCTGGATGGAAGAGAGAAGTACCACAAACACACCAAAGCAAGACATACGGATCCCTTTGGAGGACCTGATTTAAATGAGAAGCAATCATTTTATTAATTCTGCTGTGTTTTATAGACCTTTTATATGGAACATTACCCATACAACTTCACTATCTAATTAAAAAGGGCTCTTATCAATTTGCTGGGCAGTTGCTTATGCAAAAAAAGAGAGGAAGAAATAATATCACTTTTTTTTTTTTTTTCCTGAATCCCAGAAAATCATCTGTCTTAAGGAGGTACAGAGCAAATCACCAAATGCCTAGTGAGACTGCTATGGCTGACAATCGTCACTGTTGAAAGAACAGTTACAAAAACTGAACATTAGCCAACGCTTTGGGGAGGAGGCTTGCACCATGCAGGTCTGGTGCAGCATGCAGGTGGGTGAGCAGCCTGAAGGAAGGGCAGTGTCCACGTTGTGGAATGCACAGAAGCATAGAATCACAGAATGGCTTGGGTTGGAAGGGATTTTTTTACAGATTTTATAATCATGGAACCATTAAGGGCTGACAAGACCACTAAGACAATCTAGTGCAACCCCAACCCACCCACACCATGCCCTCAAAATCACATCCCTCAGTGCATCTCCATGTTTCTTGAATACCTCCATGGATGCTGACTCCCCCACCTTCCTGGGCAGCTCTGCCATTGCATCACTCCCCTTCTGAGAATAAATGTTTCCAAATATTCAACCTGAACCTGCTCTGGTGCAACTAAAGGCCATTCCTTCTTGTCCTACCACTGTATTAACCTGGGAGAAGTGGCCAACCCCCACCTCACTACTTTCAGGGAGTTGTAGAGGACGTTTAGGCCTCTGCTGAACCTCCTTTTCTCTAGACTGTACCATCCTAGTTCCCTCAGCTGCTCCAGACCCTGCACCAGCTTTGTTGCCCTTCTCTGGACACGCTCCAG